TACGTACATTATACCATACTAATGTGTAATCAATGTTACGTATATAAGACCATACAAAATGTATTAATGTGTAATCAATATAACGTACATTATATCATACCAATGTGTAATCAATGTATAAATAATGTTACGTACATTATAGCATGCCAATATATAGTCAATGTTACCAACATTATACCATGCCGATGTGTAATCAAAGTTACGTACATTATACCATACTTATGTGTAATCAATATAACGTACATTATATCATACCAATGTGTAATCAAAGTTAAGTACATTATATCATACCTATGTATAATCAAAGTGACGTACATAAATTATATCATACCAATGTGTAATCAATGTTACGCACATTATATCATACCAATGTGCAATCAATGTTACGCACAATATACCATTCCAATGTGTAATGGTATTTAGAGTCGAATAACATAATATCACGACTTCACAGTGCCTTTAGATCAGGGAGGTACAAACAATCTTTTGGTTCGACTTGAAACCTTTGTTCATGAGGCTTTTCGAAAGAAGCATAACTTTGTTTACGTCTTCTTTAACCGAAAAAGGCTTATTACTCAATGTGTAAATACGGCATCATAAAAGATATGCAACAAGCTGGTATTAGAGATAATTTACCAAACTTCATTTAAAATACAGAACAGAACGACACTTTCTAATCAAATTGGAAAGAAAATCCAGGACAGCAATATTTAATCAAACTTCAAAGATAGGCCGATGCAAGCGGTTTAATTTTTTCCATGTAAACGGTGTTCATGCAGTAAGGTGCTTAACATTGAAACGTCGCAAAGTAGCTCCAATACTGACTGAGGAGCTGATAGGAAGGTTAAGTTAAGACCCTATACAGCGTCCACTGATCTAAATTAGACTAGTGTTTCATCGTTTATAGATCAGTGAGATATATATCTTAAGTTATTGCATTCTGTCGTCAAATAACTTTGTCTGCAAACACTATTACATTACCTACTAGAAGAAAGTACTAGGCTTGCTAGATAACCAAGGGAACACTATACCTATACGTTTTCATTTTGTCGAAATGGAAATATTAGCAAATCACGCTTCTGTATTACAAATTTTCCGAACACGCTCTATTGACACGGTAATGACCTACCTCGTTTACATTTGATTATACAACTCCACCACTATCCTCAAAAACAACGTTTTATCGCTTGTTCTTCTAGTTATTCAACCAAGTCATTTCAAAATGTTCATTACCATGCTCAGTATCATTAAATCAGGGTTGCAGTCGTATTGTGAAACAGAATACTTAAAAAGTGTAATAAACGGTAAGGAATTTTTTAAGAATTCAAAATATCTTTACTCAATCTTAAATATCCTCTTGACCTTTCAACCCTTTACACTACAATTCCTCATACAAAACTGCAGGAACGATGACGTTTTCTGGTTATGAGACCTTTTTCTTTTCAAAGAAAGACGTACGACGATATAAATATACGGTTGTGAATTATTCTGGAGCATATTTTGTGAAAAATACATCAAATTTCAATATGAAAGATAACTAAGGACAATATTTTGAAAATGATTGAGATCCTGTTTGACAATCTATTTGTTGAGTATATGTTGGCAAGATATTTCAGCAGACTGTAGGCATTACCACGGGAACAGACTGTGTCCCTCATGTGGCCGATTTACTCTATGTATATCTGTTTCATAGACAACATCTGTCGTATATTTTCCAGAGGTTTCAATCAAGGACCCTGACTTATCTACTTCCATCACTTTTCTCGATCTTAACTTACAACATGATCAACATAGACGGCTGACTGCTTATCTGTACTGTAAGCGTGGCGATTTCGACTTTCCGATTGTGATTTTCCCTTTATTGATAGCGAGATCTAGATTTCCCCTTACCTACGATGTTTACATGTCACAATTGAATCGATACTCAAGAGCTCACTCCGAATATCGCGCCAAATAAAACGACTTCCGTGATAGATGTCGACTACTAATGGACAAACTTATAACACAGAGTTTCTAAAGATACAGACTTATAAAGGCGATGGAAATGAGTGTCCATGTTAATAATTTTAATGTTCTTATGTTCCTCTGACTTTATTGGTTTGAGTGACATTTCTGTATTCTCTTGTTGTTTTTTAGAAACAGTGTGTGTCTACAATTATAAACTACATAATAACTGCTAGTCTGTTCAAAACAGGTATAACTGATTATAGTCACTTTAACTTTTGTCTTTTAATTTTTTGTTTGCTTATATTATTTACTTTAACAAGTGTTGTCGACCTTTTATTCTCCTTAATGACTTATCCTGTGTTGACGGTCTGTTAAGAATGTCCTTAAATATCACATCAATGTAAACGGGTGGATGTAGTTCAAATGGAAGGATTTTTTGCAGGATAATCTTTCAGGGTTCAATGCTTAAGTTATATTATCAATAGAGTAAACATGTACGATCGGACAGAATTATTATGTTATATCATTCCTATGCACTGTCAAGCCAGTAGTCCACCTGATCATGTTTACAATCTGTCTATAACGAGCTTTTTCCCTGATGTAATCTCTTTGGTATATATCATTGGTATGACGATCACAAAGTCTTTTCCTTTGGATGTTAGTTATATAACTCCTATTGACCGGCCTAATACATTTTGTAAGTATCAGCAAGATATTCGGTTATTTGTGCCTTTTTCTTATGTACATCTTTTCAATTTACAGTCAACAAGCCGATATAATCTAGTTATATATACATCCGGGTTAAGCCTCATACACCTTGTATCAACAGTCAAGAAAGCCCCTTGTGAACAAGGAAGTCACTATCTAAACCTGTGATGTATACATGTTTGGATTACCTCGTCATACTAAAGAAGGAAGTAACTCGCGATAGATTCGTTAATATGGTGATATTGGGAATATTTGGTGAATGATATATATGGTGATGTATTTGCGCTTATACCATTCAAGATTCCTTAGTAAGGTACGTATACAATGTCTGTTAGGTCATCGTCGATATAACCGTATCTGATCTTACTCAGTGTAACACAGTCGTGTATACACATACTAGCCTTATCTAGGTTGATTCGCCGTCGATTATATGTAGTACGCATTGTTAGCTTGATACAATAACCCTGCATTGGAAAAAACATACCAACGCACAGTTAAGCTATCCAAGCATTTAGTTGACAGAATCATGTTGCACGCTTAACGAATTCATTATTCATCTACATATATTTTTCAGTTTATTGATTCTTATAAATTTAATGTATAGCCTGTACAATTATTATCGAAAACATCAACATGTTAATCATTTAATTTACAAATGCTCAATTATGAATATCTTCCTGTTAAAAAGGTGTTAACCTGTCGTTAAACTAACCAGGTGTGGACCAATTTAGCCCCGCCAAAGTGTTCACATGATCTTCTAGGTTATGTGCGTGACGAATATTGAGACTTCTAACTATAGAAACATGAGGACGGGCCAACAGGTAGGCTGGCTACCAGCCATATTATTATTGTTGTCCTCATCATGTCCTTACCTATACCAGATTAATCCAGTATATCTGTATTTTTATGCTGTTTTATTTATGTTGTCCTAACTTTTACAGATAACCGTCGTTAGCTTGGTGCTCTCGATCATGACGTCAGGGAATACGAACGTGAATAGTCAAGGTCAGTCCATTTCCTAGCTCTTTTGCATGCGTTATCTTATTATTATACCTCGAATTCAAACACATTAAAGCATACTAAATCAATGTTTATGCTGTTTTACGTGTACAGATTAAATATGTACGTCTTGGTACAGTAACTTCTCCTATATATCCAGTGGGTGGATAGCCAATGTGTACTTTTGGGCCTGTATCCCATGGATTTTATGAAGGATGTGTTATCAACAAATATACATGATTTGCTAATTATTAATATGCAAAACATAAACAAACAGACGATAAATGAATATTGAATAGTTAAACATATTTATTTCACAAGCTAAATTGGAGTTATTTCCCCTACACTGCTTATTTGGATTGTTGTGATAGAATATACCTACATTGTACATACATCTAGCTCGATGTCCAATTCAATTGACATATACGAAAATTAATAAAATCCTGTTAAAATTGAAATTAAAAACCATATTTAAACGTTTTGTTTAGCAGGGTATAGATAATGTGTTTAGACACCACCTTAAGAGATCAATTGATGGATTTCCAAAAGATGTCCTTTGAAAAGATCTACGATAATTACAAATGTTATAGAGCTATTCTTTATATATATACATTTATGTATTGAGTCCTCAAAACGAAATTTGCGCGCTTATTGTTTTCACCCGCTTTTTTTCTTGCCCTTCATTGTGGGCAGCTCCATGCATACTATCCGATCTCATAATAGCTAGGATTGTTTGAATGTGATTGGTACACGGTATACTCGCGAGGATTCGATATCGTGAAATAAATATATACGTCTCCGTATCGCCATCGACCTTTCTCTTGAACTTACGCGACACGTGCATCTCGGGAAATGTGAGTGATTTACAGCTAATGCTCCTGCAATTGAGATATAGATTTCAGTACACACTGTTCGATATGTTAGAGTGGTGTGCTCAAAGAAAGTTCGAAGTTTAGATTTTGTTCAATCAACAACCCCGCCCTTACAAATAACGCTTGGAAAATAATTTAAAACTTGAAAATCATTGTCTCGTAAATATTGTTAAATTGGTGAATTTCTACGGAACTGTATGTTTTACAGATGCCGACTGGCCGGTTCATGAGTTTCGAGGAGTATGGATTGCTACCGTTGCTAACATCGATTGGCCGTCATCTCCTCACCTTTCCTCAAGTCAACAAAAGCAGGAACTTATAGCAATGTTTGACAAACTTGAAGAATTGAATTTTAATGCCGTCGTTTTTCAAATACGAACCTCGGGTGATGCATTGTACAGTTCTCATCTCGAGCCATGGAGTGCCTATTTGACTGGCAAACAGGGAATGCCGCCAAGTCCTCTTTACGACCCACTAGCATTTGCCGTCACAGAAGCTCACAATAGAAATATGCAGTTACATGCATGGTTCAATCCTTTCAGAGCACGTGCCGGAAGTACACAGAGATCGGATTTGGCGGCAAACCATATTTCCCATCGTTTCAGCAGTGCGTGCTATGCATATGGGAAAGACCTCTGGATGGACCCGGGCGACCCCGACGTACAGAACTTTACTTTTAATGTTTTCATGGACGTGTTGGAGCGTTACGATGTTGACGGGATACACATTGATGACTATTTTTATCCATATCCGGTAGGTGACCAAGACTTTCCAGACGCCAACACATACCGTCGTTATGGAGGTAAGATGTCGCTTTCCGATTGGAGAAGAGACAATATCAACAAACTTGTCAAAAACATCTCAAAAGGCATAAAAGCTAGAAAACCCTTTGTCATGTTTGGAATTAGTCCTTTTGGGATATGGAAACCTGGTCATCCCAGTCATGTCGTAGGCTTCAACGCGTTTAATGAAATTTATGCAGATTCACGAAAATGGTTAGAGAATGGATGGGTTGATTACTTTACTCCACAGCTGTACTGGCAAATAGATCCTCCTGCTCAAAGTTACACGGCCCTCCTTGATTGGTGGACAGAACAAAATCAACACAAGAGACACATATATGCTGGTAATTTTGCTGCAGCCATAGTAACCAAGTCGTGGCCCGTCACCGAGATAGAAAGACAAGTTATTGAATCACGGGACCGCAGATCAAAGCAAAGTCTGGGAAATGTGTTTTTCAGTGCTAAATATTTCGTTCAAAATACAGATAGGATAAGCGACATGTTCAAATCTCACATATACAATTATCCTTCCATTACGCCGGAAATGACTTGGCTGAATAAAACTTGGACATTGCCAACCCCTCAAAATGTCTTGGCGACCGGGACAGCTGTCACATGGCAAGCAGACGATTCTCCAGCAATACGGTCCTGGGCTTTATACAGGGTGTATGCGGATGGTTGGCTTCTGGTTAAAGTTTTAAGTAAGAATGTCACCTCCGTAGACCACTTGATTGAGGGAAAGTACGCTTTACGTACAGTAGACAGACTTGGTGGACAGGGCAAGGCAGTCACCTTCATCTTGGGCGGAAGTGGAGCAAGTGTCGTAGGATAGTATCAGTATAAGTAGTAGGATTATATCAGTAAAACCGTCATATATCATATATATTGAATAGTAAAGATGTAGAGTTTGTGATTATTACAATACATGAATTGTATGACGTCAACATTGTATGACGTGAACACGATGATTTATCTCCCGGAGGAGAATACTATTTAGTACGACGGGTTATGGCTAGCTCACCATTGCAATATTTGATATATTTCAAGTGATTTATATTGCCAGACTTCTGTTATAGTTTATAAAATGTGTTAATTATACTCTTAATTGCGTGATGGATTTGTATATATTCAAAATCTTGTGATACATAATCGAAAGATTTTATTGATGTGTGAAAACATTGAGGTTTATTTTCGAAGGTTTCTATTCACTTCCAGCGATTTGTAAAACTAAAAAATCCGGTGCTTTTTGTACAAAATTACGCAATTCATATTAGAATTTCCAAAGAAAAAGAGAGCTTATACCGCGGTGCAGCGTCCGTCGTCAATCTTTCAACTTTTCCTTAAAAACGCCTACTAGTCGAGAATGGCTGTATGGAATTTGACCAAAGTAGTGTGGGGAATTATTAGACTGAGAAGACTCACCATTGTATAAATGAAGGATGTGTCACCCTTGGGTAAGAGGGTTGGACCCTTTATTGGAAAATATCTCCTTAAAATCCTTCTCTTTGAGTATCGCTAAACGGATTTTATTTAATGATGATTAAGAACATCCTTGGATCAAGGGAACAAAACATTAATTTAGTTTTATCTGGAACATCATTAGATCATTCTTATAGTTAGAGTTTGTTGCAAGGGGAAAATAATATTATGTTAAGACGAAGAAGCTTAAATGCTGATATTTTGTAGTTTAAGTGAACACATCTTCTTTTATAAATGGAAAAGGATGACAGGTTTTATTTTAAGTGCTCAAAGGTAATATTTGCACAAGTTTATCGAATGTAAATGAAATGAAGAAGGTGCGCTACAGGCCTGTTATGTTTTCGCATAAAGACAGTACACAACAAATGAGCAATCATTTCGGCGGTAGATATTTTCTGCTTCTTTGGTTAAAATATGTTTAAGACAATGGTAAGTGCCTCTTCAAACATTTAGCAATTATTTCATATTGGCCATGATGCAATTTATTATTAGAGTAATCACAAATCCGGGATCACAAGTCATAGCATTTACAAATGTTTACATCCTGTATATTAAGGAAAACAATTGGAACCTCGCAAGTATCCGCATTTGGTTCCTCAAACTGATAATGGGAAGTTTCATTTTTTGTAATGGAAGCACAAATACCTAACCTATCAATGGAGGACACACAACGACTTTTCACAGACAGGGACACACAGAGAAGGAACAAATTAAAGTTGTGTAATTCAAGTTGGTAATTAAATGAATATAATTTTTATAAGTAACGCATAAAAATGAATATTTACCACCTTTCCTAAAAGTAAAAAAACATGTTTATGTTAATTACTATTAATAACAGGTAGATAAGTATATAATATAAGTATAATACGGAGATTGTAGAAAATTTACTATACAGTACTGAAAGTGTACACTTACTCTGAAGTAAAAGCTACAATAACATATCTAGCATAAGCTGAACAACGAAAATACAAGAAAAATATATATAAAGCGTTCTCAGTTATACTTTCTGTACTGCAAGAACACATTAAAATTGATTATTAGGACTAGCAACTCCCATCATTGTAATAGACGAAGGGAGATAACTTCGCAATGCTTACTGTCTATGAAGTATGCAAAGGTGATGCATTTTTGTCACAACATAATCTAATAATTCAGTATTACATGGACATTGCGTAAAGCAAAGGTGGGGTCAACATTTGGCCCCCTCTTTGATTTCTTTTATTCTTTTGCCATATGTAGATACGTCAAAAAAAAAAAGATCAATAACTGCATACATGATTATTCGTAATTACAACTGATAATCATAGTGGACCTCCTTGCATAACTCCAGGTTGAATGACGGGGGTATCCTAACAAAATGACCGATAAGTGTCACAGGAGAATACTATTTTGCAAATGAATTATGATAGTGTACAGTGCATAAAATTACTGTTATTTAAATACTAAATATGTCATATTGGTATACATGAAGTAAGCGTAGTGATACTTTTAATTAGAAAAACATGCAAAATTTTCACATAATTCAAAATATAACCAACATTGTCAACTTGCCTATATATAGTTACAATGGTAGTCTATATTTTAAACTTCTTTAAAAACTTTCCATATATATATTCTGTCTATGAATCATTTTTATGAAAGATCAAAACCGGTAAAGTACTTTTATAGCATGCCAAACATGATCAAAGGCCAATTTCACATAATCATGAAGATTTGATTATCAATGTTATTTATGATAAATACCGATACATTTTCTGTTTTTGTATTATACTAAAACACTTTATTAAATAAGGTTTGTTTGAAAATTTTGTTCAACAGTAATAACATATGAATATGTATTCTGCCAAAGAAATCGTTCCTCTGGAGAACTACTTAAGGTTGAGATTGTGTTATAGACAACGATATGCAATCGTTTTAAGATAATAACATAACCTTAATAGTAAAACTATTATACACTTAATTATACCCCCGCAACGGAGTAAGGGTGTTTTACTTAAATCAGCTTGTCCGTACGTCTGTCTGTCCGTTAGGCCTCCAAGAAAGCTGGGTCCACGTCCCGAGGCTGGGTACGTTGGTGCTCAGTGCGTATGTGATCATTTCGGGGGTATGATTGTGGCGCGCTGGGCGTCATCGTAGCAGAAGGCTTTCACAGTAGCTCCAATTTGAGCCAACCTGTTTGCCGTGGGTTGCATCTCGTATTCCTGGGGGAAGAAGATCCTGGTAGCTGAGCAGAGTCGGAATCACTGTCAAACTCTTGATAGGAAGGAGACATGATCCGATATTCTGCAACATACTGCTTTGGCTTCGGACTCTGGGTAGACGAGAGGTGATATGGGCCCTCTATCACCAATCGGCTGGTCACGCCGAGCCCTTGGTTTACATACTCCCAAGAAGGCGGTGGCTCAGGGTCAATCGCGAGAGTATACTCTTTCAAATAGTATGTATATTCTTACGAGTATACTATTCTATGTATCTCCGACACTTGGCGCTGGATATCCGCGTCACACCAGTGTCCCCTTGTTGGGCTCCGTGGCGGGTGGAGGCATAGATCGTGAAACAAACAAATATACACATGGGTAAAGATAAAAACCACCAAAACGACGGACATACCAAAATCAGGAACGATGACCCTAGCTCAAAAACAACACAAAACGCAACACAGAACACCCAATTCCCGCAATTCCTTGTGATGACCTCCACACAGAGTGGTAAAACAACGGCCGCGTTGTCGCCACTTCTGTTGAGGAAGGGCATCCAGGGAATCGCAGGGGATGTGAAATCCGTTAAGCCATTGGGATCGGGCGATCTCCTTATAGAGGTTTATCGCCAACAACAGGCGATGAACCTACTCGGAACAACCAGTTTTGCCGGCATCGGTGTCAGTGTGAAACCACACTCATCACTTAATTGCAGCAAGGGGGTAATCAGGTGCCCAGCCTTGCGCAATGACACCGATGAAGACATACTGGCATATTTCCAGGAGGAGAGCGTCCCGGTCTCTGAGGTGAGGCGGATGGTGATCAGGAGAAACAATGATACAATCAAAACAAACACCTTCATCATCACTTTTTCAACGCCAACACTACCCCAAATACTAACAATCGGATACCAGAGGTACAACGTTTCCGTCTACATCCCAAATCCATTGCGATGCCGAAACTGTCAGAAGTACGGTCATCACGAAAAGCGATGTAGACGAAAATCGATCTGCCAGTATTGTGGCCGTGAGGGTCACACCGAGCAAAATGACTGTGACATCGCCAACCTGCGCTGTGTCAACTGTGAGGGGAAGCACGCTGCCTCTTCTCGCGACTGCCCTACCTGGAGCCAGGAGAGGGAGATATTACGGGTTAAATATACCCGAGGTGTCTCTTTCCCCGAGGCCAGGAGGATAGTCGGGAGTGCAGACATTGCTACACCCTCTTACGCACAAGTGACTCGAGGCAAGGCGCCGGTTGACAGTGTCACGGTCAAGGATGCTTCGGTTCAAGTTTCTGAAGACATACCTGCCTGGGGCTCACAAGTCCCAGACATGGCTGGTCAACAGAACTTGAAAATCCTCACGGGGGACCCATCCCGTTTCACGAC